AATTTCGGATCCCAACAGTTTCCCCTTTGCAAATATCACAGGTTAAATCACTTTGTCTTTACTGTGGCAAAAAGAGAGTTCCTTATCTCTGCCTTTGGAGTCTTTCTTGTATTTCCATGTCTTGTTTGTTAACTTTTGCAGCAGCCAGCAGAGGCACAGCCAGGACCTTGGGGTTATTCGATACCATCCCATGTCATAGGCAGTGAGATAGAGGGTGGTAGTGTTTTTTCTGGTTTGATGGAGTTTGTGGCTGGGTGGTGCTGGGTTTCACATGGTGAGAAATTGCATGTGAATCATTCACCTGTCTTGTACATTCTGTTATTAGTGGTGTTGTTGTTAACTGTTTGTTTTCTTATTTCATTGCTGTTTCCAGTAAATTGTTCTTACCTCAACCTGTGATCTTCACCTTTTTGTACAAATTCTGCTCTCCATTCTGTCACAGGGGGAGATGAGAGGAGAAATGGCTAAGTAGCGTTTGATCTGGGGTGTGTCAGTGGGAGCACTAAATTGGTGAATACAATTCCTAAACCAAGACAGCATCATAAAAGAAAAAGTTCATAAGTGAAGCACAATTAGGCCAGAAAGACTGCTGGTCATTCCTCTCTCTTATTGCTCATGCAGCTGCATCCTTTGAGTAAGGTTCTGCAACTTTTGACAGTGAAAAGACACCTTTGAAAAAAGAAGTGAAAAAAGAAGGAGGAAAGGCAGGAAGGCAGGTAGGCAGGAAGAAAGGAAATTTCTAGAACCATTCTGCCATTTTTGTGATATTTTTTTCAACTATCCACAGACTTAGTGTAACTGTGTGGAGGAAACCCAAATCTTCTCAAATTCATACTCAAATGCATATTTATGAGAGACAGATAAATTATGTCCAGTCAGAGACACAACCATTGTTCAGTGCTGAGGAATGAGCTTCTGGGAGGTTAACATAGAAAACACAGAGGCAACACTTCTTACCTTCCAAAAGGTATTTTTACCTTCCAAAAGGTAAGAATTAGTAAGGTCTACATTACTAATGACACAATGTAATTGAAATGAGGGCAAGTTTTTGATAGGTTGAACTAAGGAAGCATTTATTGAGTTTATTTGTCTAATAGGTTTAGATAACATTCGCAGTATTGATCTGACATAGATGACAAATCATGAAAGTACTGGATTAGATTGCCAGTATCTCAAGGGTTAGATTGCCACTTACTCTGTGATCACTCATGAAAATAAATAAAAAAGAGAAGTATTGGAGAAGAAAAAAGGATTTACTGCATGATGTCGTCCAAAAGTGAATGAGAAGAAACACTGCGAATCTTATTTGTTTCTTGATGTATGGAGATGTCTAAATTGAAGAATTTCACATTTTCTATCGTCACTGGGGCTTTCTGTTACTGACCACTGAATCAGTGTCTGCACCCTGAAAGATTATTAAAATCAGCCAGACTGCATGTTCATGGAAGTAGTCTTGTTATACACTCAACATGTAAGAAGGCTTCTTATGATAGAAATATGCCTGTTTCAGTACACATTCCCACCACAGGTGGGAATTTGGTAGCAAAACATCACTACAAAGGAAGAAGACCAGTTTTCTGCATGTTTGTATATGCATGTTGGTAATGATGAATGACTCACAAATGGCGTGCTGCTGTGCTGCATTTGGCAATGCAGGAGTTGCTTTGCTCCCTGTTCCTACTGTATGTATTTTTTGGCATGTCGATTTAGTTCATATTTCTAAATAGTATGTAGATTTGTAAAGCTGGGCCTCTTTGCATGTTCTATTCTTTCATAGTGCTAGGCAAGACAAGAATAATTGAAATGGAAATGGGATATTATTTTGTTAGTTTAATAATATCAGAAGTGAGGAGGGAAACTAGGAAAGTGTAAAAAACGTTTGTATTACTATAGACTGAGAGCTGCAAAACCAAACTGAATTTGATTTAAGTTGTGTAGTTGAAAAAACAAACCAAAATGCCTGAAATTTTGCCAAAAAACCCTCCAGAAATGTCAACCCCTTCTCATCTCTCAAAGGCATGGAATCCCTACAAATGAGGTGTAAGGGTAGTTTATAGTGACTTTAAAAGTTTATTTGAAATATCCTTATCCTAACTGTGTCTGATTCTTCTATTAGCTGCATCAGGATGAATTAAGGATAACTTCTAGAAGTAAATGGCTTTAGACTGACTAGAGAGGGAATCTGGCCCATTAAAATCATTTCTGCTTTACTCCCTGCCACAGGCCTTGACTGCTGAATTAAGCAGAGAGAAATATTGCCTGCTGTTTTGGCCACCCAGTACATGTAAGAGTCAACATGTGGCTAAAGTGAAGTGCTGGCTGTTGAGAGGTCTGGTTTATATTCCAAGTTCTACCACTAAGTCCTAGTTTCTGACCTGGCACGAGTATTTTAACCCCCGTGTTCACACCTTTTTCCTCATTACAGATTTACACCGATATCATCTCACAGACCTGACAGAAATCCAAATATTTTAATTAATGCAAATTTTGTTTTGAAATCCTTTAATAAAAGTTCCTATTATCAAATAATAATTATGAAACAAGTTTTCTGGAGGCTTAGGATAAGTGCAGGACAAACTTTCTGAAATCCAATCTGTAATCTTCTTTACAGATCTCTGAATTTTTGTGAGGTCCTAAAAGCTGACCTCCCCCAAGAGTGGTCAGGGGACATCTCCATCTCTCCTGTCTCCTTGAGCAGAGATCCAGTTTCAAAAATTACTGTGCTGGAAGTTCAGTCTCTGTCTCAGTGCAGATATGCTGAAACATTCTGAAAAACTGTATCTGTGAGAACTTAATTTAGATTTTGAAGGCCCAGATGAGCCAGATAGTTTGAAATAAGCAAAAAAAATCCTTCCCCCCCCCCCCCCCTCCCCCCCCCCCCCCCTTTCTAAACATTTATTCTTTGCATTGCTTGGAAAAACACAAGGAAATGAGTGTATTATGCAACTTGCTAATAAAAGTATGGAAGTTTGGTATGGGAGTAGTGTCCTAATCCTCTGTGCCACAATAAAAGGGCTATGCTATTCTCTTTTAAGAATAAGTAAGAAGAAATTAATGGCCCATTGCCTACTAATGATTATTACAAAACTCCGTTATCTTCAACAATAGGCAAAGTCTTTCATTTCTTCCATATTTATGTACAATAAGAGCTCTGAAAAACCTGACAACTTCAGGAAGTTGTCAGTAGGTGCTTTGTGGCAGAGATGTCCTTCAGCCTGTTTACAATTAAATTATTTCCTTCGGTCTATTTAAAATTAAATAATATTTCAAAAGAATATGAGATTTTGTAGTTTTCAAAGCATTGTTAGTTGAAAATACATATAGGAGAAGGTGTCTGGAGAGAAAGTGAATGGTAGCGTAGTCAGACAAAGCCATTTACCTGTCTATACTACTTCTTGAAGTCTCCTTTTGTTTAGGACATCTGTATCTTGGCACAAGTTCTCATAATACCACTAATTCCATCTCTTCTCCCTGACAAGGGTATCCCCATGATAGATTTGGCACCCTAGCAAGTATCAGTCACAAATCCTAGCACTGAGATAAAGCAGCAGGAACAGTTCCAGAAAGAAGGCAGTGGGTGTCTCTGAAGATTTGTAACACTCTGATGTTTTATTCTGCAAAAAGTTCTCTATTTTTCATAAATGTCTCAAAAGATATTATTGTTTAGGTCAGATATTTTATGAGCTATTCTATAACACTCTTGAAAAAAACCAAACAAACTACCTATGTGCACGATATTTTCCTTTCATTGTGTTGACTCAGTTGCACTGACGTATATTCAGAGCAGCTCATTTGGTATCAGTAAACTCAGTTTTACACCATATAAGAAAGAAATAGAATTCATATATCTTTGTCATATTTGCTAGTGAAACACTAAGTGGACAATAAAGCCCCCCACAGAAGATCAGCATTTCAAGACTCTACAGCCAGCTGCCTGCAGCATCCAGGTGGAAGGTGGGAATGTGCTGCTCTGAGGCTGCCTTCCATTATTCTGTGTCAAGCATCACAGCCTCATGGTCCTCTCTCCCAGACCAGTTAATCTGTTCCTTTTCCAGCCTTTTGCTCCTCTTTGCTATGACAGGAAAATACATATGAATTGTAGTGGGGGTCTATTTTGCAATCGTAAAAGGTCCAGACCCAGAAGCCATATCTGGACATGAAGATCTGTGCGCGCTGCTAACAACAGCTCTACTGCATGAAACAGATGCTAAGGATATATGAGAGTGGGGAAAAGGGGAGAAGAAATCAGAAGAGGGTCGGTGGCTAAAGAGAGGCTTTGAATTTCGAAGACCCATTATCTTCTGTCTAAATCAGAGAGGGTGAAATTGTACATCTGTGATTTCCTAGTTGGCAGCTAAGTCTTCTCTAAGATTCTTTGCCAAGTCTAGGGCTTTTACAGAAAACACAACTCCCCACTCTCAGTGTTACAGATAGGGTTTGAATATATATTTACAAGTCCCCAAACTTCACAGTTTGAAGACTTAATCCTAATTGTAAGTATAAAGACTGAGACCTAACACAGGGAGAAGATTATCCTGTGCTGGCCTACAACAGGTATTTTATATCATGCTGAAGGAGAGGAGTCTGAGTCTGTGACTGTTTCTACGTTGTTGCAAAAGTGTTCAATGAAGACGAGGTGAGGGCAAATCTTCCGAATCTGTCTCGTAAAACTTAAGATGTTAAGTTGAAGCCATAGTTAACTAGAATGTGGGAGAATGAAGAAATTAAGACTCAACATGGAGACAAATAAATGAGATGTAATTCTGAATTAATTTTAGTTTAGTTAAACATAAACTAAGAAATATTCACTAGTAACACTAGTCATTTGAAGCAGTACTTTTTCTTTTCTAGTCATATGGATGGCTTTGTATGCTCAGAAAGCAAATCTTACGAAAACAGCATTCAAAGATGGCCAGTGCTATTTTTTTCTACGATCTCCTTCAAACAATATTGTATATATGAAATGTATAATAAACCATGCTTTTATGTCTGTGTTCCAGACAAGTTTATTTTCTGCAACAGTTGAAGTGCAGAAGAATAAGAAACTCCTGAGTCGTAACACACTTTGTTCATCAAGCAACAAAGGTAGGGCTTCAGCACTTTACAGAAATCTCCTCATCGGGAAATGTATGTCTTCTGTCTGGGCTGTGTCACTGTACTTGCTTTTGCAGTTGTGCCCTTCGGACCAGGTTCTGCCACTGGTTACACTCAGCAGTGCTTATAGAAGAGTACAACAGAGGGACAAATTTGGTTCTCTGTTTGTAAGCAAGTGCCCGGGGAATGACATAAGTTGCCTTATTAGGCAGCACAAAAGGAAATAGTGCCGCTTGGCAATCCTCACGTGTTCCAGCCGCCGGCGGCATCTGTAGTTCCTCAGCCCTCTTGGGCCTGTACTGTTTCACTGCAAAACAGCAAACCCTTGAAAATACAGCACTGGCTTGGCAACTGACCTCTGCCAGATAACAATTGACACCAGGACTAATTTAGTAATGTGCAGCTTTAGGGAGTGACATTTACTGTATCTCCTGGCGTAACTGATACAAAGCATGCAGTCGTGGCAAGCCCTGCATGGTATTTGCAAAGTGTCAACTTGAAAGAGTCAGGCTGCTCTTATGTCTGCTCTCAGAGGCGATTGCTTCAGCCCATCAAATCAACCTTTGTGTAATATAAACAGGGAGACGTTCTCCCGCCATTCAGTGTTGCTATTCTGTGTGGTTGCTGGTTATATCGTATGTCAGCACATTGTACAGATAATGAAAATGGGGAGCCTGAACTTGTACAGGAGATAAAGGTTTCCCCAGAGAAGCAAAATTACAGTGAACCTGTCAGGCACAGATTAAGGATTTTGCAAAAATAATCAGAGACACAGAAGTTAGACCTTTTGATATGACTGTTAGCTTTGGTATGACTTACTGTGCAGAATAATTCTATTAAATTAGTTCATTATTATGTAAGTTATAATGATCTCTATAAAAGGGACTTTCAGCATAAAATACTGGTAGTTCTTTCAGGAATCCCAGGTGGGCGGGCTGAAAGTTATTGTGATAATGATTGTGGAACTAAAGATCTCACAAAAGAAATTTTCACCTGGATTTTTGCAGTAGATTTTTTGGAGCTGAGGTTTAAATGAGTGTTATCAAATCCTCAGATAGGGATCCTATTTCATAATTTCTCACCTTTTATTGAAAAGAGTTGTTAAGCAATGGAAGGTTTCCAAACAGAACAATAGAATGGTGTATGAGTGCAGTTTTACTTTCACTCCTTGATTTTTTGCCAGAACAAGCAAAATACTTAGTTTTCATCAATTCAGCAGTGTTCTTTAATAAGAGCTGCAGTTGTGACCTATTGTTACTCTCAAAACAGGATATCTCATCCTGACATCCAGCCTCTTTCCCAACCAGGATCATTGGGAAGCTGCTCTGGACCTGCCTCAGTCCAACCCTCTGATAGCCACATGCGCTACACAATTCTTTCTGCTGGAGAGGCCCACATGAAACCATGCAGACAGACAAATGGCATCCCAGTTTCTCCTCAGCAACTGCTTCCTGGTTAACTCTAACCCTCAGGAAGCTGATTGATCTGAATATTAAAACCCGTCAGAACTTCCTAGTCTGTCTCATACAGAAGAAAAACCTCTGTCTGGGAAAAGATGCCAAAGTTGTTACCATTACTTCTGATTGTTTTCCATGTCATGTATTTTTGTATTTTCTGCTATGTTGTAACAAGTTCTTTTCAAACATGTGGACTGATAAAGAAATCACTGATCAATAACCCCAGTGATAGTAAGTTTCCACACAAGGATATTGAAGAAATGAATTAAAATTGATGCCTACAATTTCTGTTAAAATTTCATTTCTGAAAAAAAGAAGTATTTGTAACTAGATAAATGTCTAGATAAATTTTGTTTGATCAAAAGATGCCTATGGCATATTTCTATACAAGTTGTATTATTTCTAAAAGTACCTTGATGTTTGACTGAAGCACTGTGCCAGCTTCAGTGACGTTTCTGTTGTATCTGTGCCTCTGTACTTAATGTTGGAACATTAAGAACACAAAACATTAAAATATAATGATTTAATTTTTCACTCCTCTGCATAAGCCTGTAATGAGAAGTCACAAAATTCACTGTGGGAAAATCATGATGTCTCCATGGTTTTATTACTCACTTCTTTCTTCATTCTTTTCATAATAGCATTGCTGTAGTCTTAAAGCAACAATTCCATGTACAGGTCAATGATTAAGCTCCTGTATTTATATCATAGCCCATGGATCAAAACTATCCCAATTTCTAGAAGCCCTAACTGGCTGAATTTATTATCTGCTAGAGTGAAAACAAACTCAAGTTACCCTGGCTTAGGGATGTTGTTCCTAATCGGTCTCCATGAACTAATTACATGGATAATACGAGGGCTTTGAGGGAGCAGCAGCCACTGCTCTATGGCACCCAAGGAACAACCTGCCCCACAGCAGCCTGGCCTGCGAACAGCGAGTCAGCAGACACAAAGAGAAGCGTAAAATGACAGAGCCTACATGTGAAGGCAGCTCTGCAGAACTCTGTAGGGAACAATTCAAGGCATTCCTTAATCAGTTTTATATTCTCATTGCATTGCACTTATATTCCAGGAGCGGAATAATGTATGAGTTTGGAAGGAAATTGTGGGAACATTAGATATGATATTTGGTAGAGAAAATATTTCACATTTTTCATAGAGAAAAGATTTTCATTATTCTGACTCAGATGCTCTTGAAAATGATTTCTATTTAGATCACTGTATCACAAAATCAGTGGAACAAAGGCTTTCTTTCTACGTTACTGAGACAACAGGATCCTCATTGTGATCAGACCATGTTGCTAGAGTACGGGTAGCACACAGGGACAAGTAGGTTATGAGAGCTGTTATATCAAACTGTTTTCTGGAGAGAAAATTTACCTTCCTAAGTGCTACCACCAAGAAAAAGTTGGACAGCAACCTTTTGTCACGACATTTGCATCACATCACAAGTCTCATAACATGGATGATTATTGAATGGAACCAGGAGACCTTCCTCACCTAACCAGTTTATTATTCTCACTCTTCTATCTAAACTGAAATTGTTTCCTGTAAAGAAATAAAACAAAAAAAATATTTTGAAATTCACAACAGAAAATAAGGCCAGAGATGCTAGCAATCATTTTTCATTTGAGCTGAACAAGATAATTCACCTATGTTTCAAGTCTATCTTGAAAAGTGTTGCTGTTTTCAGAGATAAGTCCAAAGCTGGAGGCTCAAATCAAGACCAGATCTCAGTGCTGTGACAAATATCACTGCACAACCAGATTCATTATTACTTGTTTTCACAGTCTTTATAGTAGTTGAATTTGTGGAGCTACTTGCACTCTACAAAGGGGTTTGAATGGTTTTAATTAAATGTTGATAAAACAGAAAAGGAATCTTGGGATGTGAAAACAAATTAATTCTGGTCATTAGTCACCTGACAAGCATATTACAGTACAGATTTTTTATAGCTCCATGGATGCTTGTGAAACTGGAAAGATGGTATTCTAAATGGATTCCTTGTTAGCTGCTTTGAGTCACTGTGGATCTCACTTTAGTTACCTGCAGTCATTACTGAAACAGTTATGTAAGGTGCTTTCAAGGCAATACATTGCCTGTATCTGATTTTGAAAATGAATTCTGAAAGCTAAATTGTAAAAAATATGGGATCAGTTTAGTACAGTTCAGAAACTGCTGTAAAATCTTGAAATGCATGAGCTGCCAGCTGCTCTCATGGACGTTGCAGAAGTATGTCACATATCCTCACTCCTGCCCCACTCTGTTATTTTCTGTTTGTTACGTCTCATGAAGTTAACATTTGTCCTCTGCTCTTTGCATCCAATATAGTACCTCTGTTAGCAGAGAAAAAAAACAATTTGATTAATAAAATAAGCAGGCACTGCCTTACCTAAACCATGAGGAATTAGGATACAGATCACTCTGATTTCACACATTGATCAAGCCTGTTTTTTGATAAGGAAACTGGTCTGTGTAAATGGAAAAGAGTATTATGTATATGGAACAAACTCCTCCATGTTCCCTAGAAATCTGCTACTGAGGTGTGTATTACTGGGATTATGAGGGACACATAATGCCTTCTATTTCTATGCAAATTGTGTTGGCAGTTCCTGCAACGAGTGGTACCAGATCTGAGAATTACTTTTACAAATGTACTGATGCTTGAAGTTGCTTTATTTTAGCTGTTATGCAGAAAGAAGCTTCTAATGTCTCAGTTTATCAGCATAGACTATTACGGAGACTGAAGGATGTTTGGATACTTAGATTATATATTAATTTACAGTAAAGTAGCAAATTGGAAGAGAGTATAAAGTAAATGAACTAAACTAGGCCAGCAAGACTAATTTCTTTATCAAAACATAGCACGTTGTGATCATTAGATTTTCCACCAAGAACGAATCTCGCTTGCTTTTGTCTGTAATAGAGCTGACAAAGTAAAAAGGAGAAGGGAAAAGAATGAAACATTTGCATTTTCCTGGCTGACACAGATTTAGAAACTCTTGAAGAGTGACTCTGCCTAGAGAACAGGTAAGAGGTTGGTGTAATTGGCACCAAAGCACCTTTGTTGGCTGACTTTTAGGACTTTGGACCTCATGTGAGCACCAGGCCTACCAAACCTTAGGAAGCCCTGAACAACTGGTGTTAAAGGCAGCTTGTCTAGATGTTTACCCTGGGATTCAGGGGAGGTTTGGACTTGTTTGTTAATAGAATAAATCTGCATATGAGGTACAAATGATGCAGGTGTCTGGGTGATGCAGGGCAACCAGAATTTTATTGAAGGCCACTATTTACAGGAGATGTTGAAAATTTAAAAGTAAAAATGTTTGATCATAATTTTTTGGCCAGCTGAACCTTCCACCCTTCCTTGGATGGAAGTAACCTCTTGGATATGTGGGAATTTACAGTTGTAAGGTGAGTGCATTCTAGCTATCCTCAAAATACTAGAATTGTCTGTAATATGGCAATGCTGCATGCCTGCCAGGATATCAGGATGACCTCTGCATCTACAACTGCTGGGATACCCACTTGCACTGAACCACAAAAATCCAGTACAGAACACAGAGTGATAAATTTGCCAGTGCAACACTGTGCTCCTGAAGTACATTTCGTAGGAGATCTGCATGGCAAAAGTGTGAGGGAAGGGCAGAAGAGTAATAATACCAGAAGCTAGTAATGGGAAGGCTCTTTTTACTCCAAATCCCTGTACATCTGTAGTTAATAGCTGTCACCTACAAAATGGCATTATCTCTGGCAGAGGAGCATTAAGCAGAGCTAAATAAGGGGAAGAATTAGATTCACTATCTTTAATTGGTTTATCTTAGAACTATCTTGGAATATAATATAATTTTTAAATAGTGCATTAAGGAAATAAAATACAAATTAACGATTCCTTTAATGTGATTGACCAAGAAACTATTGTGGGTTCACCCTGGCTGGACTCCAGGTACCCACCAAAGCTGCTTTATCACTGCCCTCGGGTGGATGGGGGAGAGAAAGTATAAGGAGAGGCTCGTGGGTCAAGATAAGGGCAGGGAGAGATCACCAATTACCATCATGGGCAAAATAGACTCCACTTGGGGAAATTAATTTAATTTATTACCAATCATATCATAGTAATGAGAAATAAAACCAAATCTTAAAACACCTTCCCCCCACACCTTCCTGGGCTCAACTTCACTCCCATTTACTCTTCTTCCTCCCCCCAAAGGGCACAAGGAGATGGGGAATGGGAGCTGTGGTCAGTTCATCACACATCTGTACTGCTCCTTCCTGGAAGGGACAGCACTCCACACACTCTTCCACTGCTCCAGCCCGAGATCCCTTCCAGAAGAGAGAGTCCTTCATGAATTTTTTCAATGTGAGTCCTTCCTATGGGTTGTAATTGTTCATGAACTGCTCCAAAGTGGGTCCCTTTCCACAGAGTGCAGCCCTTCAGGAACAGGTTAGTCCAGTGTGGGTCCCCTGTGTGGTCGTAAATCCTTTCAGCAAACCTGCTTGAGCCTGGGCTCCTCTCTCCATGGGGCTACAGATGTTGCCAAGAGCAGACTGTTCCAGCGTGGGCTTCCCATGGTGTCTCAGTCTCCTTTGTGCATCCTCTTGCTCCGCTGTGGAGTCCTCCATGGGCTGCAGGTGGATCTCTGCTCCATTATGGACCTCCATGGGCTGCAGGGGCAAAGGTGCCTCACAATGGTCTGTACCACAGGCTGCAGGAAAATCTTAGGTCCTGCTCCTGGACCACCTCCTCCCCCTCCTCCTTCCCTGACCTTGGGATCTGCAGATTTGTTCTTCCCACATATTCTCACTTCTCCCTTCTGACAGTTGCTGCACAGCTTTTTCCTCTTCTTAACTACATTATCCCTGAGGAGCTACCACCGTTGCTGATGGGCTCAGCCTTGGACGGCAGTGGGTCTGTCTTGGAGCTGTCTGGCACTGGCTCTGTCAGACATGGAGGAAGCTTCTGGCAGCTTTTTGGAGAAGCCTGTATGCCCCCTGCTACTAAAACATTGCCATGCAAGCCCAATACAGTAAAAAATATTTAAATAAATAGTGTTCACCTCTTTAAACACCAGGACTAATCCTTTGAGCCTTTGCTACCAGATGTAATCCTTACATGTAATGCTATATGTTAAAATCAATGGAATTGCATCCAACAATAAGCACATGGTGCTGCTTTGTAAGAGTTTGAAGAAAACCAGAACCCTGGGAAGTTACCACTGAGAATGTAAAAGTATTCAGCTTCTGTTTCTTTGTTAAAATGAGAGTTTTATCTAACAAAATGGCAGTTGGTTTGGCTGATTGTAGTTCTAAAAGATTAATATTTTTAAAATTAAAATGTACTTCCTCACTGTGAAAGACATATTGTGAAAATTTAGACTGTCACCCCAAAACTAAAAGGAATAAAATTACAATATTGGAAAAAGAACATCAATGTTTCAGAACACATAGTGTGGAATAATCTTTCAAGATCAATGCTCATTTATTTTCCTCCACATCTAAACTCCTTGTGTCCTTCAGGCTCAAACTT